CTTGTCTCCATTTCTCGTGTCTCTTGTCCCCCAAATTCCCACTCCCTCCTCCAGGGCCTGCTTCGACGATCCCGCGGGCCGGGATAGCTGCCAGAACCCACAGCTGCCACCGCCACCGGTGTGGAGTCCGCAGACCAGGCCTCCTGACCTCCCAGGGCGGCTCTGGGTCAGCAGGAGTCAAGGCACCCCTTGTACCCAGGCCGCTTTCATCCTCAGGCCCAAGGCAGCTTCTCACCTCCTTCCCTGCCAGCCTGGTGCCTCTAATCGTCTGGGACCCAGGACACCTGGGCCCAGCCTCCCCACCCGTGTGCAGGCACCACCCGCGCTACCTGCTTGGAGTAGATCTTGAGGAGCTTGTTGACAGGCGTGCCCTCGCTGTCTCCGTCGAACTCCAGCCACAGGATGGGCTCCTCCTCCTCAGGGGAGGTGTGGTCCCACGACAGCTCCTGGAAGCGCAGGCCCAGCAGGACGTGCTGGCCAGCAGGAGACACAGAGCCAGGCTTGACCCCTGAGCAGAGGTCTGCTCCCCACCCCATCCCACTCAGACACCACCAGGAGGGGACACCTGGCCAGGGTGTGTGCCTCTCCAAGGCTGAGTCTACATTTGTTCGTGTGTTTCTCTAAGGAGAGAGCCTCAGCTTTCATCAGAGCCTCCCGGGGGCTGCGGTCCAGGGAGGCTGAGATCCCCTCTCCCACAACAGTCCCACCAGCGGGCCAAGCCCCTGACAGCTGGGGATGCACGTGGGGGAGGAGGCAGGTGGGGAAGGGGAGCCTCTTCTATGAGGTCAGGGGTGGCATCTAGCATGAGGCTGAGCTGGGCCCTGCCTCCCAGGGCACAGATGGCAGGAGGGGCTGAGGTCCCTCTTCTGGGACAACCAGAAGCCAGTCAAAACTCCTCTGCTGGCTTAGGGGTGAATTTCTGCCAGGGACAGGTAATCTGCCCCACGGGGCTGGCTGCTGACGCAGCCCTCTACCCAGGGCTGGCCACCAAACGCAGGGAGAAGAGGACATGGTCAGCCGAAGAGGGCTCCCCCGCACCAGGGTCTTCTGGAGCACCAGGCTGCTCTCTAGCCATCAGCCGGGCAGAACAGAGGGCCCTGCTGCCCTCCTTCCACTCAGGGGTGGAAGTCCCAGCTGCGGCCTCCCCTGCCCCGGCCACGCCACAGCCTAGCATGTTGGGCAAGAGGACCCAGGATCACCCTCAGGGGCTACAAAGACATCTGAGGGAGGCAGGGTCCCTCCCAGATAGTCCACCCACCTTGCCCCCAGGCCCCCACAGGCCCAGAGGAACCAGGAAGGCCTGAGTCAGGAGCCCCCTCCCATCCTCTCCACCCTGGAGGAGCTGGGGGCGGTACCTTCTCTCTGCTGTCGATGACGTGCACGCCTTCCAGACTGATGGCCACAGAAACTGGCTTGCGCCCACCCCGGTGCAAAAAGCCTTGGGCCGGCTTGTCAACCTCCCCGTGGAAGAAGGCACATCTAGGGAGGGGACTGGGGTCAGCCTCCGGCCGGCATCAAAAATGCTGAGGGAGGCTGCTCGAGGCCCCAGCCTGGGCCCTGAGAAGCTTCTGCTGTTTGGGTGACTAAACCCGCTCTGGGGAAGGGAGAAACGGAGGTGGGATGAAGGGGAGGCTTTGTGGGGAGACAGCATCTGAGCTGGCAGTGGTGACTGGAGGGAGAAGGGCCTGATGGCACACAGAAGGGTGGGCACTGCAGGCGGAGGGAAGTGCGTGGCCCCAGGCGTGGAGCAAACCAGTCATGTGGGCCTGGCACTTGGTCTGGGGGCCAGGGCTGCGGGAGGCGGCCAGGAGAGCCGGCTGGCCACTGTCCAGGCAGACACCTTTCAGTAGCAGGGGCCTGCTGGGAAGCGCGAGGAGGTGAGGGGAGTGGCTCTAGGGCTCAAAACTGAGAAGAGCTGCCGCCTGTCCCTCCTGCAGCCTTGCCTTCTCCCATCCCTCGGGTTCACCCTTGCCCTCACCACCCACTGAGCCAGAGCCCAAGTTAAACCCCGCTCTCTCCACGCAATGGGACGGAGCCAGAGACCAGCACAGGCCACCTTGAATCCTAGGGCCGTCCGCTCCAGACTCCTCTGGAAGACTTCTGTCCCCCAGGCTCAGCTGATGGCCAGACCTCCGATTTCACTGAGGAAACCGAAGCAGCCAGGAGAGGGCCACCTGCCGGTCAGCAGACATGGCTGTCACCTCCTCCTCAAAATCACTACAAGACCTGTTTCTTCACCCCATTTTACAGCAGGGCTGTGACAGCTGGTCACACTCGCTGTCTCCATCCCTGCTCACGCTCGCCCACCAGGCTGGAGCCCACATCCCTCACTGGCTGCCAGGAGGACAAGCGGGACGTGCGCTCGGAGCTACTGCGGGTGGAGCCCTCCTGCCTTGCTAGGGGCCCAGGGCCCCTTCTCACCTGGCCCACACTTGCCTCCCAGCATCTCTCCAGGCTTCAGGTGCCATCCATATGCATAGGATTCACCAAATATGAGCTCCAGTTCAGACTGCACTAGACACCAGATGCCCACTCGAAGTTGCCAGTGGGGCGCCTAACAAGCATCTCAAAATCAACATGTCCAAAGCAAGCTCCCAGCCGGGCACGGTGGCTCACGCCTACGATCCCAGTGCTGTGGGAGGCTGAGGCGGGAGGATCACTTGACCCCAGGAGTTCCAGACCAGCCTGAGCAACAGGCAAAACCCCGTCTCTACACAAAATACAAAAATTAGGCTGGGCGTGCTGGCTCCCAGCACTCTGGGAGGCCGAGGCGGGCGGATCACCTGAGGTCAGGAGTTCGAGGCCAGCCTGGCCAACATGGTGAAGCCCCGTCTCTACTAAAAATACAAAAATTAGCCAGGCATGGTGGTACGTGCCTATAGTCCCTGCTACTTGGGAGGCTGAGGCAGGAGAATCGCTTGAACCCGGGAGGCGGAGGCTGCAGCGAGCCAAGATCATGACATTGCACTCCTGCCTGGGCAATAAGAGCAAAACTCCATCTCAAAAAAAAAAAAAAAAAAAAAGCCAGGCATGGTGGTACACACCTGTGGTCCCAGCTACTCAGGAGGCTTGCTTGAGCCCCGGAGGTCGAGCCTGCAGTGAGCTATGATTGTGCCACTGCACTCCAGCCTGAGTGACAGAGCAAGACCCTGTCTCAAAACAAAAACAATCACATTCCTAAACTCTCCCTGACCGCTCCACAGCACCGCCCCCAGCTCAGCCGATGGCGAAACCATCTGCCGGGGGCTTAGGCCAGTCCCCTCTGCCTCCTCTCCTTTGCTTCGTCCACTGCACATCCATCTGGCAAATCCTGTCACTCTGCCCTCAGATGCCCTGCATCTGACCATCTCGCCTGTTCTGACCACAGGGCCCGAGCCACACCCCACCCTCTGGTCTCCTGGCTGCCGCCTGCGCCCACTGACAGGCTCTCCTCAACCCCTCTGTTCTCGTCTCTCTCCACTAGAACGTCAGCTTCACCAGGCAGGGGCATGGCGTCTGGCTCAGAGCGGCCTCCAGTGCCCAGGGAGCGCGCGTGCAGTAGGTGCACAGAGCTGTTTGTTTGTGTGACAGAGACAGCCGGCTGAAGGTGAGGTCGGCCGGGCCAGTGACCAGGCGACTGTGCCAGGTAGGAGGAGAGGACCCATCCAAAGGGTCCCAGCCCCTGACAGGGGAAAGGGGAGGAGGACGGGTGCCCAGTTTGGGATGGTGGGGCCTGAGGTGCTCGGGACAAGACACCACTTCATGGGGACACAGCTCAGCTGGGGCAGAAGTGGGCTCACTGGCAGCTGTGCTAGCAAAGCCCAAGGACAGTCTGCGGGGGGTTGGGGGACCGCGGTGCTGTGCCTCTCACCCGTAGAAGGGCAGCTCGTGGCACTTGAAGAGGTAGGCACGGTAGTGGGTGCCCAGGGCGGCCTCGCACCCGCCGTCGCTGCCAACCTCCTGCACCTGGCGGTAGGCGTTCAGCAGGCCCTGCTCGCCCGGCCCGGCCCTGGTCCCGCGGCCCCGGAGGGCAGCAAAGAGACCCTGGCCCCGCTTACAGAGGTGGGCAGGGAGGAAGGAGTCCAGCTTCTCCCTGTGGAGGAAGGAAGACGGGTGCTAGCAGCCCAACTAGAGGTGCCAGGCTCACAGGGGAGGGCGGGGAAGCAGGGCTGCCTGGAGGAAGTGGACACACATCTACTTCCAAATCAGACGCTGGGTAAGGAGCCCAGGAGGAGACCCAGGCACCAGACGGAGGGGGTTCGGTTCTTGGCCCCTCTCTGTAGGGCAGACTCCAGGGCTGGCCTGCCTCTGCCACGAGCAGCTGTACAGTTGGTGAGAAGCACCTCCTGTCCTGCTCCCGCTTCCTCTGTAGAGTGGGGATGGTGACGCCCCCACCTGTCCTGGGTGAGCTCCCCCGGCCCTAAAACCTGACAAGCTCTCCAAGTGCAGGCCAAGGACTGTGATGGGGCTCCCTATGAGGCCCACCTGGGGCTGTCCCTCTGCCCATCCAACCTGAGGTCACCGTCTGAAGCCAAAGGCTCATCCTGCAGCTCCAGATGCCTGCATCTCCAGCCAGGAACAGGAACCCGGGTCCCCCCTTTCCTGCACTTCCCACCAGTCCTGCCTTAGCCAGCAGCCTCTGCACTACAGCCCCATGTGCGCCAGGGTCCCCCACAGGGCCTGGTCCTGTCTCCCAACCCTTCCTGCCTCCTGCCTGGTTGGCTACCACACACCCACCCAGGAAACTCACAGCAGCCGAAGGGACAGACTTCGCCCCCAGAAAGGAAGGAGCCCACCACCCTGAGTGCCCGCAGTGTGCCCCGCACTGCAGAGGTCCCCCTACCCCCACCTGCAAGGGCACACAGACACACAGGGCAGCCAGGCAAGTGAAGGAGGCCCAGGAGGCGGGCCCAGGTCTGCAGCTCACAGCGAAGACGAGAGGCTGAGGGAAGATCTGGAGGCCAAGCAAAGAGCCCCCACCCGCCTGGAATCAGACTGCAGCTGGAGGGTTTCAGAGCAATGTCTGTGTCACCAAGTCAGGACCGCTGGGATTTCTGAACTGGTGGAACTTTTATAACCAAAACCGGTGCAGAGGTTTTAATGCTCTCAATGCTTTGTTCTGCCAGATAAAAACGTGAAAACGCCAATCTACAACCAGCACAGGCTCACAAAAGAAAGGGCATCTCCCCCCGACACACGAAGCAGGAGAGGCCCTGGCATAACCGCAGCCGATTCCCCACCTCAGGCAGCGGCTCCTGTGTGGGCTGGGGACCGGCCATCAGATAAGCTGCAGTCAGAGCGCTCAGTTCTTTTTTTTTTTTTTTTTTAAAGACAGAGTCTCACTCTGTTGCCCAGGCTGGAGTGCAGTGACACACTCTTGGCTCACTGCAACCTCCACCTCCCGGGTTCAAGTAATTCTCCTGCCTCAGCCTCCCGAACAGCTGGGATTACAGGTGCACGCCACCACACCCGCCTACTTGTTGTTTTTAGTAGAGATGGGGTTTCACCATGTTGGCCAGGTTGGTCTCGTACTCCTGACGTTAAGCGATTTGCCTGCCTTGGCCTCCCAAAATGTTGGGATTACAGGCGTGAGCCACCATGCCTGGCCCCTTCACTGGAATTATTTCTAAACCTCAGGATAATCCTCCATGGAGACCAGAGACTGGCCTGGGCTTTGGCAGGGCAGACTCAATCCTCACCACCCAAGGCCCTGCTAAGTTACACAGCAGAGAGCTCAGCTCTTGGAGAAAGGGCTGGGAGGTGGACAACCAGCATGCTGACTGCCTAGGGAACATCCCAGGAGTCTGGAACTAAGCTGGCCTGTTACTGGTGACAAAGGGTCAGTATTTGGTGGTCTGGAACTAAGCTGGCCTGTTACTGGTGACAAAGGGTCAGTATTTGGTTGGTCTTTGGCTGTGACTCCAAAAGCCCAGCTCCTCTGACCTCGGCCGGAGGCAGGGCTCCAGATTCTTCTCCCAGACTTCACTTCACCTGAGGCTCCCACCCAGGGCAGGTGAGGAAAAGGAGGCTGAGGGGCAGAGCAACTACCTAGGGCCAGAGTGAGCATGCGGGGCTGAGGCCTCCTGACTCCAGGACCCTGCCCCAATTTGCGAGACCGAAAACTGCTTGTAAGTTTGAAGACTGCTTGTAAGTTCGATTCCAAGGACAAACTCCCCCATCCAGCGCCCCCGCCTCAGGTCACACAGGCCCTCACCTCAGGGCGCAGGCTGCCGGCTGGCCGGGCTGGTAGGGCCCGAGCTGGACGCGGCACACCAGGGCGCCCAGAGCCTCGCAGTCCTCCACGTCGCACGGATACCGCGCGGCCAGCACGTTGCCCTTGGCCTCCTCATAGAGAAGCCGCAGGACCTCCTCGTCGCGGATCTGCAGGCGGGTGTGGCAGGGAGAGCCGCTCAGCTGGGCTGGGGCGAGGTGCGAATGTCCAGAGGTCTAGGGACAAGGAGGCTGGGCACAAGGGGCTGGGCCTGCTGGGGCTACCAGGGCTCCTGCCTCACCTGGAGCTCCCGCCGCTTTGGGAAGAATACGTTCCTTCGGAACTGCAGGAAAGGCTCATCTGGGGAGACAGGCTAGGTCACTGCCAGGCATCCCCATTCTGCTTAGCCCTGCCCTCTCCCCTGACTGGCCCAGGCGCCGGCCACCAACCTCACCGACCCCGGCTGAGAAAACCGGAGGGCTGTGCAGCGGGTGGAGTGCGCAGCTCATCCCAACGTGCCCCCGCAGCTCCCAGCCCACCCCCACTGGGGCTTCTCTCAGGGACCCCGTCCTCCCCTGCCAGTGGTGGCTATCGGAGCCTGGGGGAGACGCAGGCCCTGCCCCTCAGTCAGGGCAGTTCCTTGCTGGCAGGGCCCTGGCTGGGCTGGGAGCCAGAGCTGCAGACTCAGGTGGTCCTGAGACAAGGAGAGACAGGCAGCAGCACTGACCCATGGCCACGTCGTCGTCCGGGGCACTGGTGAAGCGCAGCAGCAGCTCCGGCCACTGGCGTCCCAGCTTGTAGGGCTGGTGCTTGGGTTTCAGCTGCACCTCTGCAGGACAAGATGGGGAGCGGCCCATGCAGCCTCCAGCCAGTCCAGCGGCTGCCCTCCCACCTTTCACACTGCATAGCATGACAACAGTCACAACCAATAGTAACTGAGCAGGTGCCAAGGGTCCAGAGCCATTTACTCTGCAATAACCCTATCCCCCATTTCACCCATGGAGCAAACGAGCCTCAGAGAGGTCAAGTTCCTTGTCCAAAGTCACACAGCAAGCGACGAGGGTCTGGCTCCAGGCACAGCCAGCCACTAACTGTTCACTGCAGCCCCGGGGCAAGCTGAAGCTGGAGGCTATGGCCGAAGGAAGGTGCTAGGGCACAAAGGAACCCGCAATGCCATCAGGAAGCAGAACCTGAAATTGGCAACTGGGGCCCAGAGACCCGAGGGGCTGCCTTGCCCTCCCCCTGGCAGAGCCTGGGCCTCCCCGTCGTCACTTCCCACCCCCAACACCTCCAAGGAGCTCTAGCTGACCTTCCATCCTGCAAGCTCTGCACCTCTGTGGCCCACCCGCAACCCAGCTCCTGCCTGGCCCTCCCACCTTATCTCCTCTCACTGCCTCTCCCACGCTGCTCCTGCCACCCTGGCCTTCTTAAATCTCCTGACTTGAATCTCAAGTCATCCCCAGCTTGCTTGTGCCAAGGCCTCTGCACCTGCTGTTCCTCTTTTCCTGGACTCCTTTGTCCCAGATCCTCCTGTGGCTGACTCAGGTCTTAGTTCAAGGACCGCCTTCCCTGGACCCCTAACTACTAAGGCAGCCATTCCTCAAAATTTACCATCACCCCGATGACGCCACATCTGTTTACCTTCACAGGCTGATCACTACCTGACATTCCCTGCTGCTGCCACCCACAGGGCTGCGGACTTGTCCACCGCTGTATCCCTGGGGTGCAGTGACCTCACCAGGGGTTGGCAGAATGACCAAGTGCACCAGTCCAGCCCTTCAAACTCCAGGCTGCCCCATGCCACCACTGCTCTGGACCCAGGACTCAGTGCCTCAGGCCAGGAGGGACAAAGCCTTTCAGCTCACACACCAGCACCCACCAAAAAACAGTGGCCATGGGGGTCTCTGCCTTTGAGAGGTGTGAGGCCACTTCCAAGTTCATCCAGAGATGTATGGGGATGTCTGTCACCGGGGTATAGGAGCCAGAGCTTGCTCCAAGCCTCCTGAGCCCTGCCTGATCCACATCTCCCCGCTCTACCCTTCCGTGGTCCCCACTGATGGCCGATCGCCTCTCCTGCTGGCCTGAGGCCAGGGGTCCTCATCTCTGCTCTTTGGGCTATCTGGGCCTTCCACCTGGAAGAGCAGTCACAGCCTCCAATTGGGCCCCCTTCCCACAGCCCTTCGACTCATCCCTGCATCCAGCCTCTGCAGCCCTTTCTTGTCCCATCATTTCTGGTCCCATCATTTCTGGTCCAGATTTCCCAGAGGCTCCACAGCCCTCCTTTACAACCTAAACCCTGGGCCCCACCCATGTCACCATCTCCAGTAGGGAAACACCATTTATTTACCCCCAGTAGTCGCCTCCCTATTGACTGGGTGAAAGGGCTCCATCAACTCCCCTCATAGGGTCCTCATGCTCTCTCTGTCTGGAAACTCAAAGGATGTCAGGGTTGGAGGACACAGAGATCACCCACTTTACAGCGGGGAAACTGAAGCTCGGGAAGGCACAATGCCTGAGGCCACATGGGGCTAGTGGCTAAACCAGGAACAGAGCTCTGCTTCCTAAACCTCCCTTCACCATACTTTAGGTTCTAAAGATCCAATGGTGGTTGGGCGCGGTGGCTCATGCCTGTAATCCCAGCACTTTGGGAGGCTGAGGCGGGTGGATCACTTGAGGTCAGGAGTTCGAGACCAGCCTGGTCAACACAGCAAAACCCCGTCTCCACTAAAAATACAAAAATTAGCCAGGCGTGGTGTCACTTGCTTGTAATCCCAGCTACTCGGGAGGCTGAGGCAGGAGAATCGCTTGAACCCAAGAGGCGGAGGTTGCAGTGAGCCAGAATTGCACCACTGCACTCCAACCTGGGCAACAGAGTGAGACTCTGTCTCAAAAAAATAAAAAATAAATAAATAAAATAAAGTTAAATTAAGTTCCACCAGTGCCTTCCCTCCAGTATTCCCAGCATCTAGAATACCACGTAGCCTGAGAGAGGCTTTGCACGTCCTCGTGGAACGAGCGCAGTAACTGACTAGATGGGGCCTAGAGACACCCTGGAGATAAGGATGCCCTTCCTGCTGTCTACAGCCCAGCCCTGACCAGCCTCAGCCCCAAGCCCCAGCAACTCAAAAGACTCCTTCCTGTCTTCAGTGCAGTCCCAGAACTTCCAGATGGGGCCTTCCTGCCTGGAGACTGTTGTCTAAATGGGACGGAAGGTCCCTGGAGCCCTGTTCCATGCAGAGCGACAATGGCATTGAGAAGGCTAAGTCCTGCCAAAACATCCGGTATGAAGGGCAGCTCCAGAAGCCGGCGCCCCTCCCTGCCCTTGCAGGGCACTCGCGGCCCTGGAGCATCTGTCACTGGTTCACCCTATCAGGAGTGTAGGGGCAGGGGGGCAAGGGTTCTGGGAGGCCCAAGTCACAGCTGAAGTGGCTTTTCAACCTCCCTGAACCCAGCCTGGGAACAGAGTGGGTGCTGACTATGTGCCGGGGTCTTCTGCCACCATCCTCCTGCGTGGGCTGGGCAACAAAGCAGCCCATTCATGTCAGTTCCAGCCTCCGGCTGTGGGAGCGGGAATGTGGCGAGGAGGGAGCGGGGATGGAGGAGGTGAGAGGCGGAGACAGGCTGCCCAGCAGGCTCGGGGAGCTTCTCGAGGCAGGGCAGGGGCCGACCCATGCAGAACTGTACCCCTAGCTTTCAGACACAAACCAAGGGGCCCACAGTCCTGACCCGAGGCCCGGAGGTGAAGGGGAGGTGACTGGGCTGGGCATGGGGCGGCCGAGGAGCCGGGGCAGCAGGAAGAGGATGGGCGAGAAGCTCCCAGCAGCAGCTGAGCAGGAAGCTCCTACTGGCAGAGGGGAGGGGGTGGAGGGAAGGATAAGGGTGGGGAACGGGGACGCCAAATGTTCCCTCTCCCCCCACCAGCAACCTCAGAAGACATAACCCTTGGGCCTGACCCAGGCTGCCCTGGGACTGGTCACCCCCTTCTTGCCTGCGTTCCTCTACAACGAAGGGAATGTGTAAGCTAAGAAAACTCGCCTGGCCATGGCACCGATTTACTAAACAACGACATGGGGCAGCCTCTTCCTTGACCCCCTCCTGTGCGAACCAGCAGGCTCAGAGACCCTGTTCACTGAGGGACCCCGGGCTGAGGGTCCAGAGAGCCACTGCCCCCAAGTCCCTCCATCTTGCAATCTCAGCCTGAAAGGGCAGGATGTGGGTGGTCACGAGGCCAGCCAGGCAGGGCTGGAGGCCCCCCTCCCAGAGAAGTCAAGTCTACTCTTCCCACCCTCGCTAAGAGCCTCAGGGTCAGAGGGGCACTTCCTGGGCCATGTCCCTTCTCCTCCCTGTTCCCAAGGAACAGAAACAGTTCAAAGAGGCCGACCGGGAAGCCACTCAGGTCTGAATCTGTCTTGCTCCTGCCACACAGTGGTCTCACCACCTTAACCACAACTTCCTCATCTGCAAGACTGGCCTGGGCCTGAGGATAAGGTGAAATCAAGGCTCCCAAACACCACCCAGGTTGTGGCAAAGGTTATGCTCGGCAGACAAGGCCCCCTTCCTCCCTCCCTCCCTCCTGCAGTACCGTTCCCAGACCACCCAGCCCCAGCACGACCTGGGGGCAGGCGTGGCCACCCCTCCACCACCAGCAGAAAGACAGACAGCAGGGCCAGGAGCGGGGGCCTTCTCAGGGCTCTAGGTGCTTAGATGGGTGGACAGCTCAGGATAAACCCAAGTCCCACCTTCCCCCATGCGCAGCGGCTCCAAACACTGCCCCTCCCTCCTACACTGGTCAGTGCTCTTCCAACCCTCCAGCCTGGGCTCCTCACTGCCAAGCCTTACCCAGCAGAGGGGAGACCAGCCAGAGCGCGAAGACATCCAGGGCAATGTCCGGGAGCTGCAGGACCTCGCGGACGGCGCGGTGCAGCTCATGGGCACTGAGCGAGGGTAGGTTCTCCACAGCCAGGGGCACCACCGTGTCATCCGCCAGGTATACCAGCACGTCAGCCGCTGTGATGGAGGCCAGGCAGGCTCAGCTGAGGCCTCTGCCTGGCACAACCAGGCCAGGCCAACCAGGTACCCTCTACCACCCACTGGGGCTGGAGCCCCCACCCTATACCCCTCAGGGGTGACCAGGGCTACACTCCTGAGACAAGAGTCCACGCCAGAGGCGAGCCCCAGCAGCCCCCAAAGACCCTATCATGGCTGCTGTCTATTAGTGCTTCCTTGACGCCCTCAAACCACCCAGAAACCCAGTAACTCCTGCCCAGAGACCAGCCCCACCCCAATCCCCCAAGATTAAAATTAAGCCTGGCCATTGCAAACCTGCCCCTCACCGCCATAGCTGCCCCAAGGATTCAGCTGTTCTGCCCTGAACAAGAACATTCCACCGATGTGAAATTACGGCACAGAGAGGCTGAAACCATCCTGAGGCTATGGCAGTCTGTCTGTCTGTCTGGCAGCAGCGAGAGCTGGTAACCCACTGCTGTCCTCAGGCAAGTCTCTCTCTGACTCAGGCTAAGATGGGAAGAGAGGATTCCTTAGGTCACCCAGGTTAAAGCAAGTTCTCAGCTTCCTTAGGACTCTTCAAGTCTTAGGACTCTTTAAGCCTCAGGAGTCAATACTGGGTCTTTCAGGTCAGCCTGAAGCAGCCTAGGGAAGAACAGCCCAAATAGCTGAGAGTTCCCTGTGACAACTTGTGGGTTCCAGAGCCAAACGGAGACACCTAGAAGAGCAACCAGATTCAAATCCCCATCCCTGGGACTGCAGGCAAGGCGAAGGAACGCCGAGCTTTGGGGCCGACATACTCGGGTTCCCATCCCTGCCTGGTCGCTGGCCAACTTCAGCGAGCCAATTTAAGTGTCAGTTGCCTCATCTGTAAAAGTAGAGCTAATACTCCTCTCTCCAAGAGTGTGTGGAAGGGCACGGTTTCTCGTCTACACAAGGGAAGGTGCTTCTTGGACCCCCAGTCTGTTATGCTCCAGCAGCTACTCTCAGAGATCAAAAAATCACTTCCAGGAGGCTCAGGTTCAGATCCACTTCACAGGCAAGGAGAACTGAGGCACTGGAAGCTGTAGTACGTGATCACCTGGACAGCTTCCATAGCCTGCCTGCGACTTAACCTCCCTAGGGCCCAGTTTTCTCCCTATCAAATGAAGATCATGATCCCTGCTTTCTTTTTCTCTTTTTCTTTTTCTTTTTTTTTGAGATGATGGAGTTTCACTCTCATTGCCCAGGCTGGAGTGCAATGGTGCAATCTCAGCTCACTGCAACCTCCGCCTGTCGGGTTCAAGCGATTCTCCTGCCTCAGCCTCCTGAGTAGCTGGGATTTCAGGCATGCGCCACCATGCCCAGCTAATTTTGCATTTTAAGTAGAGACAGGGTTTCTCCATGTTGGTCAGGCTGGTCTTGAACTCTCGACCTCAAGTGATCTGCCTGCCTCGGCCCCCCAAAGTGCTGGGATTACAGGCGTGAGCTGCTGGGATTACAGACGTGATCTACTGTGATTACAGGCGTGAGCTACCGCGCCAGGCCTGATCCCTGCTTTCAAAAGGCTATTTGGGAGAAAATGACACAGCTGGGTGCGGTGGCTCACACCTGTAATCCCAGCACTGTGGGAGGCCAAGGCGAGCAGATCACGAGGTCAGGTGATCGAGACCATCCTGGCTAACACGGTGAAACCCCGTCTTTACTAAAAATACAAAAAATTAGCCAGGAGTGGTGGCGGGTGCCTGTAGTCCCAGCTACTCAGGAGGCAGAGCTTGCAGTGAGCCAAGATCTCGCCACCGCACTCTAGCTGGGCAACAGAGCAAGACTCGGAAAGAGAGAAAGAGAGAAAGCAAGAGAGGAAAGAAAAGAAAGAACGAACAAACACAAAGAAAAGATACAGAGAAAGTGAACGTGTCACTTTTCTATGTTGCCCAGGCTGGTCTTGAACTCCTGGGCACATGTGGTCTGCCCACCTTGGCCTCCCAAAGTTCTGGGATTACAAGCGTGAACCACATCAGACCTCACTTTTCATTCATACAATCTCATTTGAATTTCACAGCTATGTTAAATAAGCTCATTTTACAAATGAATGTGAGATTCACGAGGACCCAACCTGGCCAGTAAACTAGTGACAGAGCCTCTGACTTCTGTGAGTTTTCCACATCTGAATGTACCTTATTATTTCTTAGTTGATACATAAATTATCTTTAATGAAAAACAAGACAAGCCAGAGCCACTTCTCCAGGGCTAGCGTCCCAGGAGGGTGTGGAAGAAAGGAGATGCGGGCGGGACCCACCTCGGGCTCCCACGGAGGACACGCTGCTTCGGTGGGACCGCTCAGCGGGGCCGGGCTGCCCGGTACTGCCTTCTGTCCCGTCCATCTGCAAAGGCAAAGAGAAACAGCAGTTACCGGGAGCCAGGGATGGGGGAGTTGGAGGTCTCCTCAAGCTCTCAGTGAGGACGGTAAGGGGTCCCGGGCTGGGTTCGCAAGGTTGAGCGGCGCTGCCTGGAGGGGCCAAGAGTGCAGACCGGGCACTGGTGGGAGGGGTGCGGGTTGCTACGGTCAAGAACGGAGGTCGACCGGGATGCCCAGGCAGGACAAGGCGCACCGCCAGCCGGGGACGGGGGCCCGGGCCAGACGTCGCCGTGCTCTCACCACGCAGGGACACAGAGCCCGCCACCTGAGAGGCCAGGCTCCTGCCCGGAATCCTGCTCCGCCGCCAAGCCCGCCACTGGCGGCACTCCGGCTCCCGCTAAGGATCCAGCTGTCCGGGAAGCTACGCGGAAGCTGAGGCTGGAGGAAGCGCGGCGCGCGAGGCCCCGCCCCTCCGGCCGACGGGAGCCAATGGGAGCCCAGGGCCGCCCCGCGCGGCCCGCGCATGCCCGGACGCCAGCCTCGCGTGTCTCGTCACGCCCGTGGGGTGGTGGCGTCACGTACAAGCCCCGCCACCACCCGAGTGATCCAGGGCTAGTTTCCCCTCACAAAGGCCCCGAGTGTTGGTCTGTAAGAGGGTTTGGCGAAGATTCGAGAATCAGGCTAGGGGCCTTGGCATGCCCACGCTGGGACTTCGGGCTAGTTCCCTGCCTGTGAAATGGACACTTCGTGGCACGTGCCAGGGATCCACGCGGCGCTGGCAGTGGCCTGTAACTCGTAGCTCTCTCGGCAGTGGTCAGGAGAATGAGTCCTGGCCCATTCTCATCCTGGACAAGTCCCTTCTCCTCTGGGCCTCAGTTTTCCTCATCTGTAAAATGAGAAGGTTGAACTCAAGGACTCCCAAGGACTATCTCTACTCTCAAATGATTATTAATATATGTCTATGTCAGAAAACCAGGACAGACACTCTGTTTTTCCAGGGAGCAGTCACGTGAGCCCTTGCAATCTTATATAACAGCCTAGAAGACCTTGAGGTGTTCCCAGGCTGGGAGGAGACTTGGGGCCCCAAAGAGGCAGGTGTGAAACCACCTACCCTCAGGGCCATGTCACTGACATGTCCTGGTAATGCAACGTGTGTGCATCTGAGATGTGGAACTCAGGGAGACAAATAAGTCCATGGAGCACCTTCTGGGGCCAGAGGAACCAGAAGTTGTTTCAAGTGACAGCAGTGGGCTTGGTGATCAGGAACAGAGGGCGGTGGGTTCACTTTGCCCTGGTTCCCTGTGATTGGAAAGCAGCTCTAGCTCCTGGCTGAGTCCTGCCTTCTTCGGCATGTGAAGCAGCTCTGCCTGCCCTCCTGTGATCCACACTGCCCCACAGCTGAGCCCATGACACCACATCTGCCTTGCTGATGTGACCTAAGGACTTGAGGAACTCAGACGTGGGCTGCAGGGAAGGGTGTCCAGTGAGGGCAGGCATCTCCCTCCTGGTTCTCAGCTCTGGGACCCTCAGACCAGGACACACTGTATCTCCATGGCCTCTCGACCCAGCTGGAGTGAAGCGGGAGCAGAAGAGTTCGGTGTTATTTTGAATGCTTACTGGATGCAGGGCCTGTGCTAGGTCAGGGGATGGAGACTGAGGGGAGACATGGCCCAGCCCTCAGGAAGTGTCTGTTGTGGTTTAATTGGTGAGTTGAGGAAGAGGGGAAAGAGGAAGAAGCCCAGGAGAACAGCACATTTAAAACCACAGCACTTTGGGAGGCCAAGGCAGGAGGATCACCTGAGGGCAGGAGTTCAAGACCAGCCTGGGGAACATAGTAAGACCAGCCTGGGGAACATAGTGAGACCCCATCTGTAAAAAAATCCAAAAATCAGCCAGGTGTGGTGGCACACATCTGTGGTCCTAGCCATTCAGGAGCCTGAGGTGGGAGGATCGCTGGAGCCCAGGAGTTCAAGATCACAGTGAGCTCTGATAGTGCCATCCGGCCCCTGTACTCCAGCCTGGACAACAGCGAGACTCTGTCTCCAAAAAAATAAATAAAACCACAGAAGATGACAGCATTGCTTTAAGAACTATGAAATGCTACAAGCAGGAAAAGTCTTGCTGTGTGTGGGGCACGGGGCCAGGCCCTTTCCCCGTTTCCTGTGTCGTTCTCACGCTTCCCGAGAGTGGAAATAAGTCTCAGCAGTTGCCATTTACGTGCCAGCCACTTTTTACAGTGCTTTAATCCTTAGAACTCACTAAAAGGTGAGTATCGTATCTCTGTTTGATGTCAAAGACTGACACCGGGGAGTCTCTGTGGTGGTGGTGGGGAGGCTAGAACCTGGGTCTAGCCAAGGAAGGTCACTGGGAGAGAGTCCGGGAGGCTGATGGTGGGGAAGGAAAGGCATTCCATGTAGTGGGAACTGCACGAGCATGGTTAGGACCCCAGGAAAGACCCCCGCTGTGTCAGAGCACAGCAGGTGGGTGGCACCATGGGGGAGGCCTTGAACCCCAGGATGACAGATATGGGGCAGGTGTGTCAGACAGTAAGAACATTTTGGAGGTTGTGAGCTAGAGATTCACAAGATGACGCCATGCGTGGGTGGGCTTCCCTTCAGGAAGGCCCTAGGGAAGTGGGCATGAGGGTCTTGAACTGGGGCGAGGTGGTGAGATTGGAAAAGAGAATGAGACTCATTCTGAAATGAGGGAGGAGGTGGCTTCAGGCCTTTAGAGCCGAGAGGCTTAGACATCAGTTAGCCCGACTGCTGTCCTACTTTGGCAAACGGTAATAGACCCCAAGGCCCACAGAAGGGGCTGCTTAACATCGCTCAGGGAGATCATGTAATCACCCACTGGGTTCACCTCACCCTCTGCCTCGACAGAGCCAGTTTGTCAAGACAAGGGAATTGCAATAAGGAGAGTTTAATTCATGCAGAGCTGGCTGTACGAGAGACTGGAGTTTTATTGTTACTCAAATCAGTCTCCCTGAGAATTCCAGGACGGAGTTTTTAAGGATAATTTGGTGGGTAGGGGCCGGTGAGTTGGGAGTGTTGATTGGTTGGGTCTCAGATGAAATCATAGGGAGTTGAAGCTGTCCTCTTGTGCTGAGTCAGGTCCTGGGTGGGGGCCACAAGACCAGATGAGCCAGTTTATGGATCTGAGTGGTGCCCGCTGATCATCAAGTGCAGGGTCTGCAAAATATCTCAGGCCCTGATCTGAGCTTTTACAATAGTGATGTTATTCCCAGGAGCAATTTGGGGAGGGTCAGAATCTTGCAGTCTCCAGCTGCATGACTCCTAAACCATAATTTCTAATCTTGTGGCTAATTTGTTAGTCCTACAAAGGCAGTCTAGTCCCCAGGCAGGAACAGGTTTTGTTTTGGGAAAGGGCTGTTATCATCTTTGTTTCAAAGCTAAACTATAAACTGAGTTCCTCCCAGTTAGTTCAGCCTATGGCCAGGAGTGAAAAAGAACAGCTTGGAGGTTAGAAGCAAGATGGAGTCAGTTAGGTCAGATCTCTTTCACTGTAATAAATGTATCAGTTATAGTTTCCCCCACCCCGAGACAGAGTCTCTCTGTGTCGTCCAGGCTGTAGTGCAGTGGCATGATCTTGGCTCACTGCAACCGCCGCCTCTCGGGTTCAAGCGATTCTTCTGCCTCAGCCTCCCAAGTAGCTGGGACTACAGGCGCCCACCACCACACCTGGCTAATTTTTGTATTTTTGGAAGAGACGGGGTTTCACTATGTTAGTCAGGCTGGTCTCGAACTCCTGACCTCAGGTGATCCATCTGCCTCGACCTCCCGAAGTGCTGGGATTACAGGCGTGAGCCACTGCACCCTGAGCCACTGCAGCCGGCCTGTATCAGTTATAGTTTCTGCAAAGGCAGTTTCAGGAATAGGAAGCAGAACCAGGACTGCAGCCCAAGCCACCACGAGAGGCCAGTCTTTGGGGATGGTCTTTCAGGACGATATTTGTGGGTGGCCCAAGGAGCCCCAGGCAGCTCCAGAGGGAGGAAGTGGGAGGTCCTGTTTCCAGAATCTGTCCACCCACGAGAAAGCAGCAGGGGTGGCTGGGTTCTACCTTAGCCACAATGAGAGGAGAGGTGTGAGCAGGACTGGGCCTTGGGCGTCTCCCATAGGAGACTAGGAGCTGCAGGGAGATGTGGAGGGGATGATGCAGGTGTCACTGGGCCTTGATGTTCCCCAGGGCCTTTTGGCGGTGAGAAGAGGGAACTGGAGCCCCAAGGCTGCCGCTGATGCTGCTTGCTGACATTTCCGTTCATTCAGTCACTCAGGATTTATTGAGCGCCCACCCCGTGCCACCCGCTGTGAACAGAACACCCAGAGATCCCTGCCCAGACAGACAAGTTCTTCCTGTCACATGTTGGGGTGATAACTGTGATGGAGAAAGAGAGGAAGAGCCAGCAGTGCCTCCGGCTGGGGAGACGGGGCAGACCTCACCGAGGTGGTGACATTTGAGCCCCAGCTGAAGGGGTGCCAGGGCAAGAGTGCCCAGGAAGAGGGAAGAGCCTGGAGGCAGAAGGCTGACTGAAGAAGAATCTGGAGGCTCGGGTGGCTGCAGCAGAGAAAGCAAGGGGGTGGGTGGCAGGACGTGAGGTCAGAGGAGAATGGGCGGCACCCTGTGGCTCACAGATCCTTGAAAGGGTTTTGGTTTTGACTGAGCAGAACGGGGCCATTGCAGATCAACATGCACTTTAAATGATCAAAACCCCCATCTTTCCCCTGGGAAGGAGGAGGCCAAGGAAGGCTGTGTTTCTGACTCACACGGGGGAGTCGTAAACAACCCTGGAGAGAACAGCCAGGCCTGGTGAGTCACTCCTGGGAGTGGCTCCTCCCCACCCTGCCACGCAGCCCAGCCGGCAGCTGCGGGCTGGGCCTACCCCCTGGTGGCCATGCTCCCTCCGCACCTGGCCTCTCTCTGTGGCATGGGGGCGGCCGTGCCCCTTGGTGGCGATGAATGGGAGTGGAGCTGGGCTGGCTGGGCAGGCAGGGGCTTGCCTCTTGCTGACTAAGGCAGCCCTGGAGGGGCCTGACCATGGGGCAGGGACCCAGTTGCCATCTCCAGAGCCAGGATCATTGGCCAGGCTGGGGAATCAGGGCCCCTGTGGTCCTGGCACGCCTGGCCCGTGAGACTGTACTCTGCACAACTCCTCCAGGTGGCCAGGGTCACCGGAGCTGGCTCGCTCCCCTCTGCCAGTTGCTGGAGGTCCGGGCACCAGGCCACATCTCACCTTCCCGCCAGGGTTAAACATTAGTGGGAGGTTATTAGTGTGGGCCAGGGGAGGGAGGGGGGAAATTCAACTCTGTCTCCTTTGCTGGAGCCGCCAGTTTCTGCAAGCCCAGACAATGCCGGTGGAGGAGTTTGTGGCTGGCTGGATCTCTGGTGAGACATTTTTCTTCCTTCTGTCACATCACACCCAATGGTAGGTCACTCCCTGGGGAAGATGGGTGACACGGGAGGAGTGGAGACCAAAGTCTGAGTTCCGGCCTGGCAGGAGGATCACTTGAGCCCAGGAGTTTGAGACCAGTCTGGGCAACATAGGGAGGCCCCTGTCTCTACAAAAAATCAAAAAACAAATTAGCTGAGCATGGTGTAGTCCCAGCTACTAAGGAGGATTGCTTGAGCTCAGGAGTTCAAGGCTGCAGTGAGCTATGACTGCACCACTGTACTCCAGCCTGGGTGACAGAATGAGACCCTGCCACAAAAAAAAAAAAAAAAAAAAGGCAGGTCATGGTGACTCACATCTGTAATCCCAGCACTTTGGGAGGCTGAGGCAGGAGGATCACTTGGGGTCAGGAGTTTGAGAACAGCCTAGGCAACATAGGAAGACCCTGTCTCTCTAAGAAATGAGAGGCTGGGCCCTGTGGCTCATGTGTGTAATCCCAGCACTTTGGGAGGCCGAGGTGGGTGGATCATGAGGTCAGGAGTTTGAGACCAGCCTGGCCAACATGGTGAAACCCCCAACTCTACTAAAAATACAAAAATTATAGCCAGGTGCAGTAGTGGGCACCTGTAATCCCACCTACTTGGGAGGCTGAGGCAGGAGAATCGCTTGAACCCGGGAGGTAGAGGTTTGCAGTGAGCTGAGATCACACCACTGCACTCTAGCCTGGGCAACAGAGCGAGACTCCATCTCAAAGAAAAAAAAAAGAAATAAGAAAAAAATTAGCCAGGCTTGGTGGCGCATGCCTGTGGTCCCAACTACTCCAGAGGCTGAGGTGGGAGGAGCCCTTGAGCCCAGGAGGTTGAAGCTGCGATGAGCCATGATCATGCCACTGCACTCCAGCCTGGACAACAGAGCAAGACCCTGTCTTTAAAAAAACAAAAAGTCTGGGTTCCCTGGAGCGCCCCAGAACCAGCTGTCCCCAGTCCTCCGGGGATTGGCCGATGGGGAGAAGAGAAGGTGCAGGTGGGAGGTGCTGCCTCTGCCTTCCAAGGTCACTCTGCCTGACACCTGCAGAGGGCGGGAGAGCCAGGTGAGCACCCTATACCTTGAGCCCTGCTCTCCAGACCCACCCTGTGGAGCTCACAAAGGAAGCTCTCCTTTGGCCTCACCTGCTGTCCTGAGCTCCCTCTGGGCCTCTGCCCTACCTGGCTGTGGGCCGCAGTCCGGGGCCCTGAGGCCTGTTGTGCTGTGGTCCCAGCCCAGCTTCTGGGTGGCATTCCTCTTAGGAGAAAGAGAGGGACATTCTGAACCTGCCTCCTGGGAGTGCGACCTCCCCTAAGCTCCAGAACCAGCCTCCGCTGCAGAGGGCAGGGCTAGCAGTGGGCAGGTGGAGGGGAGGGGAGAAGCTCCTCTGCAGGTGCCCAAGCATGACCCCCATCAGGGCCCTGCAGTTCTGCGTGGCCAGCTGGCAGCAGGGCCTGCTCTGGATCCTGGCGACAACATTATGAGTTGAAGAAAAAAAGAGTAAAGCTCTCGGAGAGGCAGGAACCTGGGTGATTCGCCCAGAGTCCCATGCCTCATAGGCAGTAGGTTACCTGGGTATGGGCTCCAGAGAGGACACATGCATCTTTGGCTGGCTCTTCCCTCCTGGGTGTGCGTCCTCAGGTGGGGCCTGGGGTCTTACTCCCTTGTCCCAGTGCCTTCCTGGCCCAGTGCCTGTGTGGAGGGGGTGTCAGGGCAGCTGGAGTCTCTGGAGCTTGGCAGGAAGGTGGCTGCACGTGTCTGAGATGGCGCTGCTCTCCTTCCTCCTGCCTGAACCCCTCTTTCCTCTTGGCACAGACTTGCTTCCTGGGCCTGGCACGAGGGCCCTCACTCATAGCACCTTCTTGTCACCACAGGAGCTCTGGGCTTGGTCCTGGGACACCCCTTTGACACTGTAAAGGTGAGTTTAGGAGAGGCACCAGAGGAATGAAAGATCGCACCTAACCCGAACGTCAGGGTGCCCTGAGATCAGGCCTGGCTAATCTTGCCTTTCCTGCCTCTCCTGCTGGCTGGCATCCTGCTTGAGGGGGCAGAGGGAAAGGTTGGCCCACCTGCCCATCCCGCCACCCCACCTACCCTGTTCTCCCACCTAGGTGCGACTGCAGACCCAGACCACCTACCGGGGCATCACTGACTGCATGGTCAAGATTTACCGCCATGAGTCCGTGAGTGAACCACTCCTCTGGGGGACGCATCTGGGGCCATTGGTACCAGCTTCCCGCTCCAGCGGGGTTCTACCCCTGGAGGAAAGAAGACCATGTCTGGGATCCTTGGGGGGCCTGGGTGGTAGCCTGGCACCCCAATGGCTCAGCCTCAGCCTGTCCCCACCTCCCTGTGGCAGGACTTGGGAGCAGTTTCCAGCCAGAGGCTGCCTTTCCAGGGCTGGAGAGGACAAAGGGGAGGCCCCACGGTGCCTACTCCAGTGCCAGTGTGTCTCTCTGCAGCTCCTGGGCTTCTTCAAGGGAATGAGCTTCCCCATTGCCAGCGTAGCTGTGGCCAACTCTGTCCTGTTTGGGGTCTATAGCAACACCCTGCTGCTGCTCACGGCCACCTCCCACCAGGAGCGGCGGGCCCAGCCACCCAGCTACACGCACATCTTCCTAGCGGGCTGCACCGGGGGGTTCCTGCAGGTGAGGGGGCAGTGGGTGGGCACACACGAGTGTCATAGGGATGGTCATGTCGATCTGTCCTCTTCCGCCCTGCTCTGGTGAGCCACAGCTATGGAGGCACAGGCCTCCTGGAGGGGAACAAGGCTTGTGCTGTGGCTTTCCAGGCTGCAGGCCTTTGGGGGAGCGCTGTGGGGAACGGAAGAGGCAAAAGGCAGACAGAGCTGGTGGGCAGTACCAAGAGGGTGCTGGGAGAAGCAGCCTGGGCCACTCGCTCCAGCTGTCAGGGCTTGCCCTCCTCCAGAGGGATCTGCCAGACTCAGGGCTGTGGGGACCCCACTCCCTAAGGAGACCTTTGACCCTGGAGAACTGCCAGCCCCCCGCAGAGCTGTGAGCCCAGCCCCTCTGGCCAGGTCCTGATGAGGTCCTGACACTCCCCCGTCCCGCTGGCTCTACCCTTTGCCGGCAGCGCTTGCGTGGCCATGACCTGGGAGCCTCACCTGAGGCCCCGGCCCAACAGGGCATTAGCCATTAAGTCACTGCCGTCATTTGGGCTTTAGGCTTTAGAGGGGCAGATGAAGGGAAGAGGGACCAGCCGCCGCCAGTGGGAGCCGGTACTGACAGGTGCCTGTGAACATAAGCAGGCACAGGGTGCGCCCGGTACCCACTCACAGCCCCACCACGAGCCAGGGTCGCCCTTTCCTGGGCGGCTGCCCCCAGTTCCCTGTCACACTTCATGGGGCAGAGAGCAAGGACAAAGGACAAAGTCAGGCTGCTCCTTCAAATGAATTAATGATTAATGAGACCCCCGGAGGCCCTGGCTTTTCTTCTGCCCCTTCTTGTGCGAGGTGTCACCTATAGGTTTCCTGAGTCCCACGAGCCACATCCCACAGACACAAGGAAGAGAACCGAGGCCCTCAGCTAAGTGGCCAGGCGCAGCTTCTAAGTCACCCTGCCCCCTCCAGCTCTTTGGAAAGCAGAAGTGGGGACTGTGAGGGCCGCTGATGGAGCCTGGGTTTACAGTCAAACCTGTGGCTTCCGTTTACCAGAGTCTTAGAAGAAAAATGTGTTTTAGTGTGGAGTGGAAGAAGAGGCAGGGATTGGCAGCCTCTGACAGGCACAGATGTTGCCCTGGGCTTGGCCAAAGCTGACCTTCTGAAATAGCATCTGACATTCCACCACCCCGTGGGGCTGTCTGTCACCTGGCATCGGCCTCGCCCTGTCCTCAGCCCCCAGGAGCTCAGGACTCAGAACACCCCCCGAAGCCCTGAGCTCAGCCCTGCCAGCACGCTCTGGAGGGTGGCACAAGGCCCCATCTCCCAAGGGATGGTCCCCAACCTACGACCCTTCCTGCCAGGGCCAAAGTAAACAAGCGAAGACTTGGCCCGCCAAACCCTAAGGACCAGCACCGGAGGTGACCGCCAGCCCCCGTCGCCATCAGCCATCGCCAGGGCTGAGGAACTGAGCCCATGAACCTGTCACAAAACAAACGAGCGAAAAACACATAAGTCCCTCCTAGATAGGCTAGCCTCAACGTGGACTCTGACTCTCACCTGGCCTCCGAAAGCCATCTTGACCTAGTGGCATCTCTGACCCAAACCTTAACTGCCGCCATCACTCTCTACATCCCGCCAGCACTGACCCTTACCAGGACCCCAGCCCCAATTCCATCCCAAATCTGTGTAGTGTCTGCTTCCGCCGATGCTAAGAGCTCTAGCACCTGCCAAGTCCCCCCATTACCCACCTTCCCACACTCAGAAGCCTCTTTGGTGGAATGCTAATGGGAGGGAGTCTTGCCTCTCCAGAGGCAGGAAGGGCTGGCCCCGTGCCCCCCGGGCCTCTGAGAAGTGGGTGCAGGAGAACAACACTCGCGAGGGGACCTCCTTCACCCTGGGAGAGGGTGGCCTCTTTGCTATGTCACAGTCACACGCTGAATCCTTCACTTGCCCCTGCTCACGGTGCAGGTATGCTCGCTGCCGGCTTCAGGGAGGCCAGAAACCAACCTGCTCCTGCCAAAAGAGCCCGGGCTTGCTCTGAGTGCCTGGTGCAGGCCACGCAAGTTGGTCACTGTTGCACGAGGACGGGGCAGTGCCTCTCGCTCTTGGGCCTGATGCCAAGGGAGGTGGCCTGTCCCCATCGCATGCAGACATCCTGGCCATCCCAGCCACACATGCACGTGAGAGGCTGGGCACTGGCAGGGTTCCTGAGGAACTGGATGATGCGGTCCTCTGCCTGCATCCTTCCTCTTGTGAATGTAAGGGGCCAGTTCCCAGCCCAAAGCCCCACCTGGGGCCTTCATGTTTCGTCCCCAACAGGCCTACTGTCTGGCTCCTTTTGACCTCATCAAAGTCCGGCTACAAAACCAGACAGAGCCAGTGGCCCAGCCGGGTAGCCCCCCACCCCAGTACCAGGGGCCCGTGCACTGTGCAGCCTCCATCTTCCGGGAGGAGGGGTACCGGGGGCTGTTCCGAGGAGCCTGGGCCTTGATGCTGAGGGACACCCCCACGGTGGGGATCTACTTCATCACCTATGAAGGGCTCTGTCGCCAGTACACACCAGAAGGCCAGAATCCCAGTAAGTAAAGTGGTGTGAGAGGACGGGGGACAGAGGTGTGTGTAGCAGGCAGGGTCCAGCGGGGACTGGGGAAGGAGATTAGGGTCTGGGGAGGATGCTGTGTTCTTGGTCTGACCCCTGCTCTGGGCTCCCTCTGCCCCAGGTTCAGCCACAGTGCTGGTGGCAGGGGGCTTTGCAGGCATTGCTTCCTGGGTGGCAGCCACGCCCTTAGACGTGATCAAGTCCCGGATGCAGATGGACGGGCTGAGACGAAGAGTATACCAGGGGGTGCTGGACTGCATGATGAGCAGCGTCCGGCAGGAAGGACTGGGGGTCTTCTTCCGGGGGGTCACCATCAACAGTGCCCGCGCCTTTCCCGTCAATGCTGTCACCTTCCTCAGCTACGAATATCTCCTCCGCTGGTGGGGATGAGCCCTGCGGCAATGCCAATGGCTCCCCATCAGGCCCATGGCCCGGAAGCCAGTTTGAGATTGGAGGCCAGGTTGAAAATCTGCAGCTTGCAAATCAGTGCAAGAGGCTCAGCCCTTCCTAACCAAGGCACCTCCCACCCGAGCAGATCTGGGCTGGGTAGATGCCTGCAGGAGCCAGAAGCCAGGGGGCCTGGGCAGCCTCCCTGTGTAGCTGGCCTTGACTCCTTTGCCTCCCACGTCTGTGAAACAGGGAGCATGAGGCACAAGTGAGCTGGCAACATCCCAGCCCCTGTCCTGTACCGTCACCTCTTTTTTTTTTTTTTATTTTGAGATGGAGTCTTGCTCTGTTGCCCAGGCTAGAGTGTGGTGGAGCGATCTCGGCTCACTGCAACCTCCACCTTTCCACCTTCCAGGTTCAAGCGATTCTCCTGCCTCAGCCGCCCGAGTAGCTGGGACTACAGGCGGGCACCACCACGCCCAGCTAATTTTTTGTATTTTTAGTAGAGACAGAGTTTCACCATGTTAGCCAGGATGGTCTCAATCTCCTGACCTTGTAATCCACCCACCTCGGCCTCCCAAAG